CGGTATACGTTTCGAGAATTTCATCATCTTTATAAACACTTAAGGCAACACAATTCATGGAATATACATCACTGTACCCCATGTTATCATAGGTGATGAAGCTTTTCCACTTCTCCCTAATCTATTGAAACCTTATAGAAGACAATAAATTGATACAGATAAAGACTACTTTAATGGTAGATTATCAAGAGCACGAAGAACTGTTGAATGTGCTTTTGAAATACTGTATACTAAGTGGAGAATTCTAGGAACAGCGATACAAACATCTACAGATGTAGCTGATGCTATTGTTAAGTGTATCTGTTTGCTACATAATATTGTCATTGATAGAGAAAGCATTAACCATCACGTTCAAGAAACAAGCAGAACCAAAGCAAGAAATATCAACCCAAGTAATACTGGAAGACTAAAAGAATCTGCTGAAAATATTTAAAACGTATCTTCGTCGCAATTCAATTTAAATACTATTACTATTGGAGATATAGAATTATACATTTTTCTGTATAAATTTTCTATTATTGCCGATCACACCTGAAAATAGCAAAGAAAATAGGGAATACAATTTAGCGTCGCTCTTATCGTTAGTTGCTTGTCAAGCGTGTGACAACGCGTCGCTCCAATATAAACACCTGTATATATATAAAGCTATGAAAACAATATCGTTGTTTTGCTAGTATCGTTTATCGCAGCTCTAACTCGATTGTAGCGCCTCTAACGCGATTGTAACCTTACTTGTATTATTAACGTCATGAGAGTTGAATAAATATAATGTCTCGCCGTAAGCGATCTTTGCCGGTTGAAATGCTAAAGCTCAGGTCGATTATACTTTATCTCTAAGGATATTGATTGTAGTGCCTCAACCTTATTTGATGTGTTATGGACGTCATGTGTGTTGTATACAGGTGTCCCATATCTTCCGCATCAGAGCATTATACGATTGTAGGATACATTATTCTGAAGTGATCTTTCCAATAAAATTTTTTCGTAATATTTCTAATAACCGCACGGGAATATAATAAATAATAGCAGATCGTAAATCAGACTCAGATAATCGGTGCCACTCTCGGCCGCACAGTGTCAGGAAGTTATGAATATCTGGCCAAATATAATTACAACTAAATAAAGTTGAAATATACCATTGTAATATCTCCTTAATAGTTAGCTAGGATTTATTTCATCTATAAACAGTGCTTAAAACAAAATTTAGGATTTTGAAACGAATATTTGAAAATAAAAGCGAAACAAAGGTTTTGTTGTAGGTTGGGTTGGATGTTTAAGCTAATGTAACTCCGAAAACATGGTACATTTATTTCATGTACCCTAACAATAAGTAATATATACTTATATACTATAATATATACAGGTGTCTCACGTAACTGGTTCGTTAAAACTTTTTAAGGTTCCACTATTTATAAAGGTTTGAAATTTTGGTAGCAGGGGTTGTTCATTCGGAACTTTCAATATAAAACATCTTCAAGATGGCTGCCACTTCCGGTGTACCGGAAGTAGACCATAACCATTTTAATGACCATAACCATGACCATAATTATTTTAAATGGAATGCTACAGTTTTTATTATACTTTTTAATTGTACATAAAAAAATATGTTGGATATTAAAAAACAATTAAAGACAATTAAAAGGTGTAATAAAAACTGTAGCATTGAATGTAAAATAACGAAGTTATGGTCTACTTCCGGTAGACCGGATTGACAGCCATCTTGAAAATATTTTAGATCGAAAGTTCCGAATGAACAACCCATGCTATCAAAATTTCAAAACTGTACAAATAGTGTACCCTAAAAAAGTTCTAACGAACCAGTTACGTGAGACACCCTGTATACACTGTACAGAGTGGGCAAATTTGGGTGTTATTACAGGCCATCTCAGAAACTATAAGAGATACGAAAAAAGTAGGTGTCATGTCCCGGTCTCTTTTTTCGAGACTAACCCAATCTCGCAAACACCAAAGTTCTATCTTCTTTTGTTTTTAAGTTATAACCAAAAAGTGAAATTTTCGTGATTTCAAAAAATGCTCATATTTCGTTTATTTTTGAAATTAGAGAAATGGGGTTGATACGTTCTTAAGACACTTTTTTAAGTAGAATATACTGCCGTTGAAAAATTTTTAAAATATTTGATGATTTTTGAGAGTCAACACAAAGTTGTATTTTTTTAAATACAAACTATAGTAGATTATGGTGTTACTGAAAAGAGCATATTTTTAGCTTTCCAATGATGTATTGCACGCATGGTGTATTTGGGGAAAATAAGCGTTATTTTTTAATTAATCTAATAAGAAGAGGTTAGGTGTTTGCGGGATTGGGTTAGTCTCGAAAAAAAGAGACGGGGACATGGCACCTACTTTTTTCGTATCTTTTATAGTTTCTGAGATAGCCTATAATAACACCCAAATTTGCCCACCCTGTACATGAAGTATGAAATCAATTCAATAAAAATTTGAGAGATATTCTTCCAGAAAAAATTCTTGAATATCTATGTTATATTTTTTAACGCGCATTTTTTGAGATAAAATTGAAATGTACAGGTGTCCCAAAATTGAGATACCATATGTTGACATTTTAAAATAGGAACCTCAATTTTTTTAGTTGCATTAATACGTAACTTAATTACTTAAATACGTAATTAATACTACGTAACTGCTGAGTATTTTTTATGTAGCTGTCTTCGGACTTGTTTGGGAAGAAGGTTACAGCATATCTGAATCGTGTCTCTTTTTTAAAGACGCACGATTAAGCCCGAAAGCTTCTACTTCTAGATCTAATAATAGAGTTAGTACTAATATTAATTCATAAAAAATAGTTATTCTGAAAAATTGTAAACGATTGATAGTTTCAAAACTAACATTCAGTATTCACTGTCGAATATCCGTAGACAGTACCCTGTATATTAGCCATTTTATTGAAAATGCGCAAATATGCGCAATTTATTTTTTTGGGAACGGAAAGTACAGACTTGAAACTACATAAAAAAGCAAATTTCAACCTGGGATCTTGTGGGACTTTTTCTGTAGCTTAAATTAAAGTTTAACATTGCAAATAAAATCTGTTTATGAACAGTGTTGAAAAAAAGATAAATAAATCCAGCATTCAAGAAGCTACTACAGTGTTATATAAACAACACATGCAGTATAAAATTATAGTGAAATTTTATAAGGATACAACTTTTAATAAGTTTACAATCGTTTCCCAATATTAATGAAATGTTTTTGGAAATTGATATGCAAAATAAGTGTTAACTTTACATGTCATTTTTATCCGGAGTTGAAGGTAATAAAAAGTGGTTATTGCGGAGTAGCGAGTATTACGATATTACCTAACAATCCCCATTTGCCAAAATATTAAAAAAGAAAATTAGTAAAATCATATTATGGCCGGTAATTTCAAACTTGCTAACACTGTGTAACGGTCTGATAATCGAAACAAAGTTATTGTTATACTTTTCTTGTAAGCAAACCAACCCCNATTTTTCTGTATAAATTTTCTATTATTGCCGATCACACCTGAAAATAGCAAAGAAAATAGGGAATACAATTTAGCGTCGCTCTTATCGTTAGTTGGCTGTCAAGCGTGTGACAACGCGTCGCTCCAATATAAACACTTGCATATAAAACTATGACAACAATTTCGTCGTTTTGCTAGTATTGTCGGTAGCATAAGGGTGCGTTGATTGTAGCGCCTCAACCTTACTTGTTGTATTATTAACGTCATGAGAGTTGAATAAATATAATGTCTCGATTATACTTTATCTCTAACGATATTGATTGTAGTGCCTCAACCTTATTTGATGTATTATGGACGTCATGAGTTTTGTATACAGGTGTCCCGTATCTTCCGCATCAGAACATTTATACAGTTGTAGGATACATTATTCTGAAGCGATCTTTCTAATAAAATTTTTCCGTAATGTTTATAATGTAATGGAAAGTAAAGTATTTGTAGTTGGCGAATATTGCACAATAATTAATCAAGTCAATAAACTCAAAAAAACGCACGAGTAGGCATACTTGTGCGAGGAGTGCGATATTCGCCAATTCAACAAATAAATTGTGATTGTTATATTGGTAATTAGAAGTAAGCTAAACTTAGACCTGTAATGTAGTTGTCGTAGGAATAAATAAAGAAAGTAAAGAAAAAAGTTATTTTAAATAAATTACACTCCAAACCCATAAAGAAATCATACAGAAATGAAAAGAAGAGTTTAAACATTACAATAATAACCGCACGGGAATATAATAAATAATATCAGATCGTAAATCAGACTCAGGTAACCGGTGCTACTCTCGGCCGGTTACTACGCCGATGATTCCAATAGATTCGACACGGAAAGAGAAATTAACTTTTTTTGTGAATTAAAGTCGTCCGTTATTAGACGTCGTTAAACATTTCCCGTGCGGTTGCTATAAATAAACATTTCGAACAAATTTTTTTAGAAAAATCGCTTCAAAATAATGTATCCTACAACTTTGATGCGGAAGATACGGGACACCTGTATAGTGCCTCACTTTTAATTTCGAGGCAAAATACTTGAACACCTTTATCGCAAAAAATCTATATTTTGCACATAATAAATAAGTGTAGTGCCATCAATGTAGATTATGCATACTCTTATTAACATTTATTATAATATAACATATAAAGAATATGTTGACTTCAAATAGAATAAAAAAATTATATTAGATATTATATTATAGGATATTTAGATATTTGAAATGAATAAACTGTCAAATGTGTGATTAAATAAACGTCTTATTTTAACGTTTTCCCATCAAAATAGGTTATAATTAAAAAAAAAGTGTTTAGAAAAGTAAAAGAAAATGAGGTCATCAGGTGACCATTAATTTGGGTCAAATGAGTGTATTTTTGGGGTTAAAAACTAACTTACCTTGGCTTCCAACAGCTTTATTTTAACGTTCCAAAATAGGTCACAAGACGCCAAAAAATCGCGCACTTGAAAGGAATCAACAAAGTAATTTTACAATTTGCAAAATATACATTATATATTATTGGTTCCAGTGTTATTTTATCACAATAATTTTCTCATTTCCTCTCTTAAAATAATTATTTAAAAAGAAAAATAATAATAGAGAACCCATTTGTGTCGTAATGTACAAGATATGGTACATAAATCGAATTGGAAAATAATAAATTATTCGTTGTAATTATTATAAATTGATAGTTTAAAAGTTATGCGGTTATTTCCCTAAAAATAAAATAAATTAAATAATTAGGATTTAATTAAAAAACTTTTTTTTACCCTCTAAGTTCTCGACCTGCAATCACATTGGTTCTTGACCTCGATCTGACTAATTGAGCTCTTCGTTCCGCTGCGGAATTATAATTATTATTATTAATTAATTAATTAATTTAATTGTTTAAGTTAATCAAAAGAAAACAATTAAAGCAAAAGCTGAAATTTTAAATTATTTTCACATAACAAAATTAAAAAAAAAATAAATAAATAAAGATGTGGAGTAACGAAAATTAATTATGCTGATGACGCTTAGACAAAAAAGCTTCAACAACTTCATATATTTATATATACAAAACATCCTTCTTACCAAACAGTACCGCTTCCGCCAAGCAATCTTAATTAAGCATAACACGAGGCGTTAGAGAAGGTGCGTACTTTAATCAATTGTACATCACCATCTATATACAATAAAAAAAATTTAACGCTTCTTTAATTAATTTACTTTTTAAAATTAACCTTATCATTAAAAATTTTGAAAACGATAATTTTTAATTTAGAAAATTTATTTGACATCTGTACATCTTAATATTTATGATTTTATTTTTAAGGCAATAAAACTTGTTTGATGTCGAAAAAAGTTGTTCAATATATACGAGTCTACGTATATACTTCTATTTATGGTGTAATTACACTGACAGTTTATCACTAGGGCACGGAACATTTGTAACAAAACGATACGATTTCCCTCCACTCGTTCTCAGCAGAAAATTTCATACAAAAGTTGTTCTAAATTAAATTCTAAAACGATTTTCTCAATAAAAAAAAAATATAAAAATATACAGGGTGAGTCAGAATGAATGGAAAATCCGAATACTAGACACCAAAATATGACGATTTAACCTAACATGTCTTATACAAATGTCGGTGGTTTTTAATACACAGGGTGTTGAAAGTTAAATACACACTGTACGTTTGAGATATCAAGTCATGACTATTTTGTCAGTTGAGGTATGGTGAATTAGAACCAGAAATCTGAAGAAGTTTTCAATTCTGCACAAAAAAGGTACTCTTGCTTACATTGTCTAAGTCTACCGGTTTCCAAGTTATCTGCTTTTAATTGTTTCAAAGTAATTTTAAGGTTAACATTTAAAATCAATAACACACAGTAACTATAGCAATTAGTAACGATAATAATCGATAACAATAACAATTAATTAATAACAATAGAATATTGTGACCATTTGCAAAAATCCAGTGGACTTAAACACTATTAAAAAACTCATTATGTCGTGGCATTTTCAAATTGGTAATAAATTTATTGTTGGTAAAAATGATTATTGCACACGGAAATTAGATCAATGTTGACAATTAACAAGCAATTGTCGAAACATAAACGGAAAAATAAATATTTTAGAAGAAAAAATACCTTTAAACATTTAAAAGTAAATAATTCGAAAACCGATAGACTTAGACAATTTCAATAAGAGTACCTTTTTTATGTAAAATTGAATGCTCTTTGTGATTTGCAGGTCTTATTGGTCGTAGCTGTCGAGCCAAAAAACTTATGATTTGATTTATCAAACGAGCAGCGTGT